GGTGGGGAAGGTGGCCAGACTTGGGGATGTGTGGGAAAATCGAACAGAGAGGATTTGTTCATGGACTTGATGTATGGTGAGAGAGAAAGAGAGGAGTCTAGGATGAACCCTGGATTTTGGCTTGAGTGCATGGAAGGATGGATTTGTTGCTGAGATGGGGAAAGTAACAGGAGTGGGCAGTGGGGATCAACAGTTAGGTGGCTGTGCCTCTTGAGTTTGAAGTTAGCTTATTTTTTCCATTGCCTTGGTTTCTACAACCCTCAGCACTGTGTGAAGTCTCCCCGGTAAAAGGCCCCCAGTGGACTCCATTTCCACCTCACACCTAGCCCACACTCAGCCCTTTCCAAGGTTTTGCTCCACTGAAGCTTCACCCATCTCTTTTCTCATGTCTTTTCCACCCCTGGGTATTTTTTTTCCCATCTACCAGGACACATTATTGGTATTTCCACACATAGGGTAGGTTTACTCTTTCTGGAGGAGATTTTAGACCATCTTGGGCTGCTGTGTTTTCTCACAACAAGGGCAAGTGGCAGAAGTGAGGGAGTCAGTGCCTGGAGTTAGTGTTTATTTTTCTATTTACTGATAATTTGAAGTTGGACATTTTCTGTCTTTTGGGTACACTGAGGGTGTTGTTTTATATGTTGCTTTTGTTCTATTTTTTGTTTTTGTGAAGATATTTTAGAGAAGTAGGTTTTATGGGGCTGCCATTACCTAATGTTATGGGTTGAATTGTATCCCCCTTCCTAATGTTATGTTGATGTCCTCACCCACAGTACCTCAGAATGTGGCTCTCTTTGGCCTGTCTTTACAGAGGCAATCAAGTTACAGTGAAGTTCTTAGGGTGGGTCCCAAGCCTGTATGACTTGTATCCTTATAAGAAGAGGAAATTTGGACACAGATACAGATGGAGGAAAGATAATGTGAAGATGTAGGGAGAAGACAATCATTTACAAGCCAAGAAGAGAGGCCTCAGTAAGAACCAACCCTGCTGACACCTTGACCTTGGACTACTAGCCTCGAGAACTATAAAACAATAGATTTCTATGATTTAAGCATGCCTCCCCTTATTTTGTGGTGCTTTTTTATGGCAGTCCCAGTAAGCTAAGATGCCTGAGTCACTCAGAATTCTAATATATAACTTTTTGTGTAACTTTTTGTCCCCTAAAGATCTCTTCAGTCCCCGACTGCATACAGTGCATGAGCCTAAGGGCTAAAGGGCAGGGCTGGCTACATAATTTGTGGGATTCAGTGCAAAATAAAAATGTGGGGAAGAATGTACAGTTAAATGTGCTATAATATAAAGATTTTACCTTTAAAAATAGTTATGTTTATAAAACATAATAGGGGAAACAGTGATACACATGTGACAACATTAACTTTTGTTTGTATTTTCAGAGTTATAATCATATATATATTTTTAGATTTTATTTATTTATTTGAGAGAGAGAGTGAGTGAGAGAGAGCATGAGTGGGGGTTGGGGAGAGGGAAAAGCAGACTCCCCACTGAGCAGGGAGCCTGATGTGGGGCTCAATCCCAGGACCCTGGGATCATGACCTGAGCTGCAGACACATAACTGACTGAGCCTCCCAGGCGCCCCAGAGTTATAATCATATGTAATACAATAAATAACAATACTATCGTAATGCAATATCTTGATTTAGCATAAGATTTTTCTGACTACCCTAGCTACTTCCAATTCACTTAAGCTGATTTGTGTGTGTGTGTGTGTGTGTGTGTGTGTGTGTGTGTGTGTGTATAATTTTTAAGTAATCTCCACATCCAACATGGGGCTCAAACTCACAACCCCAAGATCAAGAGTCATATACTCTACTGGCTGAGCCAGGCAGGTGCCCCTCACTTAAGCTGATTTAGTTGATTGTTCTGTCATGTACAACTCAAGAGTCCTGGTTAATATCCTACCATCTTCAGGCTGCAGTGCACACAGAATGGAGGAGGGTGCTGCAGAGCCGAAGGGGTGGGTGGAAAGCCTGTTTCCTCAGGGTGGCCGGTGGCCCCTTCTCGTCCCTCTCCACAGACACCAGGCCCTGCCCCCTCCCCCTGTAGAACTGCCCCCCACCTTGCTTCCTGGTGTGACTTCACAGACCGTCTGGTTCCACAGTATCCTGGAGCTCGAGGCCATTATGGCTGAAGGATTTTAGGAGAGATACAGACTATGGCAAAGAAGAGAGGAACAGAGACCCTCTTCTTTGTTCTCTTTCTGGACTGTTGGCAAGGTATAGAGCTCTACCCTCTCAAAGGTCCTGTCACAAGTATAGTGTGGCAGATACCCAAGTAAGAGACTCCCTGTGAACCTAAATCAGGAGGAAGATGGTGTTCTCCTCCTGCAGGTGGAAATGGTGAATGCAGGATTTCTCCCCACCTCTACCTTCCTTACCTCCCTGAATCTACCGTAGGGACTTCTTGCTCGGAAGCGGGTAACTTTAACATTTTTCCTGACTGAAGCTTTCTCAAAGGACCTCTGTGGAAGGGTAGCCCACAGGCACACTGTTTGTTACAAAATTTTTCAAACATATACAAAAAGAGGAAGAGTAGTATGAACCTCTGTGCACTAATTAGGCCAATCTTGTTTCATCTCTCCCCTCATACACACACACACACGCAGACACACACACAGACACACACACAGACACACACACAGACACACACACATTTTAAATAACAGCTTTATTGAGATATAATTTGCATAACATAAAATTCACCCTTTTAAGTATATAATTCAGTGGTTTTTAGTATATTCACAGAGTTGTGAATCAGCACCGCTTAATTTAATGTATTTTTTAAAAGATTTTATTTATTTGTCAGAGAGAGAGAGAGCACAAGCAGGGGGAGCGGCGGGCAGAAGGAGAAGCGGACTCCTCACTGAGCAAGGAGCCCAATGCGGGACTCCATCCCAGGACCCTGGGATCATGACCTGAGCCAAAGGCAGATGCTCAACTGACTGATCCACCCAGGTGCCCCAACACTGCTTAATTTTAGAACAATTTCATTACTCCATAAAGCACTATCACACTCACTAGCTGTCACTCCCCATTCCCTCTTTCCCACAGCCCCTGGCAACCACTAATGTACTGACTGCTCTATGGAGTTGTCTCTTCTGGATATTTCCTATATGGAATCATACAACGTGTGATCTTTTGTGACTGGCTTCTTTCGTGTAACAGGTCTCATGGTTCAGCCACCCTGTAGCCCATGTCAGTATTTCAGTCCTTTCTGTGGCCCAACAATATTCCCTTGTATGCATAATGCCACAGTTCGTCAATCCATTTATCAGTTGGTGGACATTTGGGTTGTTACCACTTTTTTAGCTATCTGAATCATGCTGTTAAGAACATTTTAGGAACATAGAATTTTCAAAGTGAACATTAGATTTACATCCTCTATTTTTAGGGTTTTACTGCATTTGGAACCACTTTTGCTATTTACTAAACTAATTGGCCGACAGCATTCTGGCACATTCTCTCAGTGTAAAGATACTCGGCCTGTGGAGCAAAGCAAAAAGGACAGGAGGTACATTATACAAATCAAAACATTATACAAATGTCAGGGATGACATCAGGACAAGGGGAGAATGTGACTGTTCTTTGTCAGGGCACTTTAAAAAACCAAAGCGTTTTTGTGAACAAACGTTCTACTGCCTGGGCTTACTTCCACTTTCACTGTATAGATTCTTAATGATTCACTATGTCTTAGCAAAAGAGAACTTTTTATTTCTTTCATTTACCAGAAAGCCATCAGAACTGGAAGCATTGTCTGTGTACTGTTAACTACTTGATTACCAGTTTTCCTGTAGAGTGGAAAGCTGCCATGAGCACACATTACTAACGGCTCTGCAGATTTTCTGTCAGGAAACCAAGTGAGACTCGGCATTGCCACTGGTTGTAAGAAGTTCAAATTCTTGCCCATACTTTATGAATGCTGTGGCACTCAGTAGGTGGGTGTTATGGCCCTAACAACTCTTCATGAGGGGGTAGGTATCTCTTCCTTGGTGGTTTGCCCACTCCCCTGGGGCTGGAGAAAGGGCTGGCCTTGACCTAGAATCAAGACATCACAACATCTGTAAAGAGAAAAGCCTGAAATATAGTTCAAAATTCCACAAGTTGCTACAGATTTTTTTGTTTTGTTTTGTTTTGTTTTAGCACAGTCAATCCATATCCTTGACGTGGCCACATGAGTGTCAGCAGAAGGCTTGAAGTCAGTCTACGGCATCCTAGGGGAGACTGTTGACCCAGTGCTTTTCCATTTATACCTTCATTTTTGTATTTGTCAGTGACAACATCAGGAAATCCTTGTGCTTATCAAACAGATCAGGTAGGGGTGGCCTGAGGCCCTCCGAGCCCCCTCCAAACGTAGACCCTAGTGTGGATTAGTGCAGAGCATGCAGCAGTATTGTTCTCTGCCCTCCAAAACAAGAAGGCATCCCATTTCCAAGATGGTCAAAGTCATGGCTTGTTGGCATCATTTCCTATGGAGGGGAAAGTGTTGAGAAGACACTGAGATGTGTGTCCATTTGTCTTTTTGCTCCCCTCCCACACTGAGCACTGAGCATAACCATCCAGTGCCCCTTCTTGCCATTCATAGTAGATACTAACACTGGGATGTGATAAGGGGAGAGCACTTTTCCATCTACAGATGACATCAGCACATTTCATCTCAGCCCATCCTCACAGGCCTCTTGGGGTTGACAACTTTCCCACCAGTCTCAGATGGGAAAACCAAATCCCTCAGAGCTTTACTGCCCAAGATCACAAGGCACTCAAAAGGTGGACTAGAACCCAAGTCCAGTGCTCTTCCTCCTAGAGCAGGTGAAGTGCGTGGTGCTCCTCTCAAAACACCATGTAAAAAAGTATTGATTTAAAAAGATTTCATGTAGATCCAATGAATGATTTAATCACAGCTAAGGTTTATTTTCCC